CTCTTTACTTTTTAATGGGGCTTAAAAAAAAAAAAAAAAAAGCAAGGACTACATTATGTAGGGATCTGTCACGGCAGCACATTTTCTACAAAACGGTCCACTCACACTGCCTGGAGCCTCTCCTGAGAGAGACCTGCCCAAACTGCCAACTCCCAAGACCAGAAAGGAAGATTGTTCCATTCCACCAAGAATGATGCCCCACGGTGCTGGTGGCCACCATCTGCCCTTCCCTCTGGGGCTGCCACGTCACCAAGTGTTAGAAAGGTGGTGGCCTTATCTTCTCAACATCAGATGTCTCCTTTTGGGGGCCAGCTGGGTGGCGTAGTGGTTAAGTTCGCGCTCTCTGCTTTGGTTGCCCAGGGTTCGCAGGTTCGGATCCCGGGCATGGACCTATGTACCACTTATCAAGCCACGCTGTGGCAGGCGTCCCATATAAAGTAGAGGAAGATGGGCACGGATGTTAGCCCACGGCCAATCTTTCCCAGCCAAAAGAGGAGGATTGGCAACAGGTGTTGAAGGAAGTAAATTATATTAAAAATTTAAAAGTTACTACCTTAGAGACAGGCACCTTCACACCCTAAGGATTCCTGGTATAGGAGGGAACGTTTATCAATCCTGACTGACTCTATTCATGAAAGACCCACCCTAAACTGTTCGGGGAAGAATTGAGAACAAGAGAGTGCTCCAGAGGGATAAGTTTGGGAGGGTCGGGGTGGAGGGGGTCCAGATGGGAACGCGTGTGTGTAACCTGATAATCGCTTCGCGCCATAGCAATTCGCGCCATAAAATGTAACTGTTTAAATTAGCCAATCATGTAAGATCGCGCCAACCTTTTCCCGCTTTATGTTTCCGAATCCTATAAAAGAGCTTGCCCTTTAAGGTTCGGGGTCGACTCCTCTGTCTCCTGCGAGAGATAGGTGTCGACCCGGAGCTCCGCTTAAGACCCGGAGCTCCGCTTAAGACCCGGAGCTCCGCTTAAGACCCGGAGCTCCGCTTAAGACCCGGAGCTCCGCTTAATAAACCTCTTACCTCTTGCGTTTGCATCAAGCTCGGTCTTCTGTGTCTGTGGGTCCGCGCCTTCCCGAGACTGGAGTTGGGGTCTCCTTTTTGGGATCCTACAGTGTTAGCTCAGGGCTAATCTTCCTCACAAAAAATAAAAAAAGAAATCTCCCTTTGGAGCACTGAAACCAGTGTTTTCAACCTTTACAGCAGAACGTACTCAGAAACGCATGTTCTGGGTGAATTTCCACCCTGAGACAAGTACCTCCAGGGAGAGATGTGGGGCACTGAGTTGTCCACGCAGCATCCTCGCCCCCAGATCATTTTGATGCTGAGGACCCTGACTCATCCATAGAGAAATTCCTACTTACACCTAGTCCTCAAAGAACTCCCTCAATCTCCTCTCCTTAAAAGGGGCAGAAGGCTGTGCCTGCTTAACTCTCTCTGATTTCGGGGGAGTGGGGGTTGATGGAGGATGGGGCTGTCAGTTGGTAGGGTGAGGGGAGAAAGTTCTGTTTTTCAAATGCCCACCCAGCAACTGTAACAATTATACTACGATGGATATGTGAGTTTTAACCTGAAAGTCCTCCCCTGAGATTTCCCTCCAAGAGGTTAGAGACCCTCCTGCAACTTGAGGAAGGAATGGAGGAAACTCACGTTTCTTGAGCATTATTTTCTTAGGAAAATAATGCGAAGCGCCAAGTCTTCCCTATTATCTTAACCATGTCTCCACAGCCTACCTAGACCCCACTGCCTATTCCCTGACAGAATTAATTGCTTGCCTGCTGCTCCTCTCTCCCCAGAGCCCCCCTCCTGGAGTAGAGCACTTATCTGGCATTAAAGCTAATTGTTGCAGGTCTTTTCCCCAGACATCCTTTGCTCCTAAAGGCAGCTGGTATTTTCTTTCTCTCTGTACCACCCAGGCCTGGCTGTGAGGTGCTGCTCAAATAAAGGTTCCAGGTGAGTGGACTGCAAATAAGGTCCACCCTGGCCCCCAGGATGAGAGAACTGCACATGGAGGTGTCGGATTTGCAGGCTGGCCTGAACCTTTTTATAGCCTTGCTTCTCTTGAACACATTTTCCAGAATTATGTCACTACCAACAAATCTGTGTGCAAAAGCTACAGAGACAAGTCATTTCCACTAGAAGACATTGCCCATTAACCTTGAAGCCTCGGTGGTTTTGCAGCTGTGGAGACAGACAGACACACATACGGGTGTGTATATATATAATCTTATTATGATGCATTTCACTTTGTGATGTTCCCTGTGCTATAGCTTCCAGCCTTACAAAAGCCATAAAAACTAAGTATTTTTACAGCGGTATTTCTGATCTTGAAAGAAGATGCTGTGCATATAGCCTTGGTACACAGCAAAGCATCTTGATGCTGATTTTACATCAAGGTTGTCCCCTGCTACATTCTGACTTTCTGATGTTGGGTGTATGGGGATTTTGCAGATGGTTTAGAGAATTTTTTTCTGGTTCCTTGAGCCCAGATTTTTGGAAGAGCCCCTGACTGGCTTCAGTCTTGCTCCACTTCCAATCCATCTCCCACGCTGATTCCACAGAGATCTTCCAGAAAACCTAGACCTGTTATTCCTCTTCCTTTAGGAAGAAGGTCAGCCACCATCTTGCTGAGGCTTCCAAAGCCTTTTCATCTGTTCCTCGAGCTCTTCTCTGCAAAATGCCGTTTCTGCTCCAGCCATGCTGCACTACCTGCCCCTCTGAACAAGACTCTTCACCCAAGGCTGCCCTCTGCTGTTCCCTCTGCCGGGAGTGCTGTCTTCCCCACTTTGGCCTCTTGAAATCCCACTTATCCCTCAAAACCTACCACAGCGCCAGCTGCAGCTCAGCGGATGGGATCTACACCCGGCTCCACCATTTACTGGCTGAGTGACCCAGGCAAGGCATTTGACCACTCTGAGCTTCACCTTGCTCATCTTCAAACTGAGGATTCAATCAAAGGATGTCTGAAAGAAGAGAAAACAAAACTCCCAGACAATAATTTTGAGCCTCCAACTTGATCCTCTGAACCACTCTCCCTTCCTTTCTCATACAGAGCTGAGAAAACACTGCATTACTAGAGCTGAGAGTCATGTTAATTATTACCACCAATAGACCAACAAACCTTAGAGGTCAAGGGGCTGAATCTTAGACATGCCTAGCACACAGTAAGTATGCAATGGATATTGCATGAGGGGTTAATTTATCTCTTTCTCATTCATAATCAGATCCACATAATTCATAGGTCAGTTGCTCCTGAGAGGTGATGTAGAAATAAATGTCAAACTCAAAGGTCAGAACAATCGAACCTTGAACCCTAGCTGTGTGACCTTAAGCAAGACATTTTTTATTTCCTAATCTGGAGAGTGAGGATGGTAATACCTCTACGGAAATAATCCTACTTCATGGGGTTGCTCAGAGGATTAAGCACACTAATGTGGGTGAAGTGCCATCATCATTATTATCAGGATGTCATCAAGCTTTTGGTTTTGGCTTTTCCAGCCTCAGCAGACTGCCCAGGTGAACATCTGAACTCAGTGGTTTTAAAGATCTTGGGAACTGCAACCCAACTGTCCCACAACCCACGGCCACACTGTGACTTTCATGGGCCCTAGGCAATTTTGGTTTTATGGTCTCCTTCCTCCATAAAATAATAATAATATAATGAATTATATTTTATAACTGCATTGGTATAAAGATGAATATAATCCAGTCTGGATTCATTATCATATATTGCTTATTTTTATATTCATTTTCTTCTTCTGATTTTAAAAGAAATGAAAATTAAAACATCTTCATGGCCCCCTAAAATCACTGGGCCCCAGGTATTACACCTCCTGTGTGGGATGGAGAAGTCAGCCTGGCCCTGAGTCCCTAAAGTCTGACCTCTTAAGTGTCAGCTCCAACCAGGCTCCCTGTCACTTGCTCTTCTCCAGCCACTTCTGGGGTCTCTGCACACCACGGAGTCTGTGCACAAACTTGTCCTTCTTCCTGGAACTCGCTCTCCTGCCCCTTTCCCTTATTTACTTCCCACACATACCTTAGAGCAGTGCCTCTTGGAGCATCAGAATCCCCTTACAGCACAGATTGCTGGGCCTTACCCCCAGTTTCTGGTCCAGCAGCTCTGGGGTGGGACCCAAGAGTCTACATTTTTAATAGCACCCAGGGTGATGCTGATGCTGCTCATCCCAGGATCACACTTGGAGACACCTGCTTTCATGATCAGCTCTGTTTCCATTCTCTCTGGTAAGCCTTCTCGGATCTGTTCCTCCCGTTTCTCTCTCATATGCTCTCCAAGGACTAAAGGCCTCTGCTGTACCTATGTGATTTTTTTTTTTTTTTGCTGAGGAAGACTAGACCTAAGCTAACATTTGTTGCCAATTTTCCTCTTTTTGTATGTGAGCCATGGCCACAGCATGGCTACTGACAGACGAGTGGTGTATGCCCACGGCGGGGAACCAAACAGGCCGCCAGAGCAGAGCACACAGAACTTAACCACTAGGCCACAGGGGCTGGCCCTCTACCTGATTTTTTGATTCATGTCTCTTTCTCTCTCCCATTTGACTGTAAGCTCCACGTGTCTTTGTTTGCTGGCTATGGGATCTGCACCCAGCACATAGTTGGTGCTCAGTAAATATGCATTGACTGCTGTTCAGAAAAACTGAACCAACTTAACCTCCCAGCAACAGTGAAGGCGAGTGTCAGTATCCTCTCAACTCACCAGCACTGCATTTTCACTTTTTTTTCCTTTTTCACATTTGTCAATTTCAGAATTCCTCATACTCCTCTTTTCTTAAGTAGGAACAACGAGCTAGGCAGAAACTGCTTTCCACCACCCAGAAGGCCAGGGCCTAAGGCTGGTCCGCCCCGCCCCGCCCCGCCCCGCCCCGCCCCATCCTCCGCCTACGGCCCTAGGCCCCGCCCTGCTTCCCTCTTTAGGCCCCGCCCCCACCCCCGCCTCCGCTCAAGGCCACGCCCACATCCCGGCCCCAGGCCCCGCCTCTCTCCCCGGCCCAGGACCAGCGCTGCTCTGCGCATGCCCGTCCGGCCGAGCAGACTTCAAGGAGTCTTCCCCCAGGCACAAAACTTTCTGCTGGACAATGTCGCGACCCGGTCCTCCCCCGGAGTCAGACAGGTAAAGCCTCCTGGGTCCCTGGCACCCCGAGTCCGGCCTGGCCTGGCCCTGATCGCGGCGGGGCCGAACAGATCGCGGGCCGCGGGTCGCCGGGGCCGTCTGGACTGTTTTTGCCGAACCCGCGCTCGGTGCACTCTCCTCGGCCGCGCGCGGGTCCCGGGGCCTTTGCAACTTCTCCTGCCGAAGACAGAGGCGGGCTTTGGCCATCAAGGGTTCACACCCCTTCCCCAGGGGCAAAGCGTTTCCCCCGCCCAACAGGCTTCCCTCTTCCGCTCCCCAGGTCTCCAAGTTCGACCTTAGAAACCCTGAGCCCGCCCCTGGCAGCCCTGGGTTCGAGACCCCCGGTGGCTCCTTCCAGTCTTGAGCTTCGGTCGCTCGGTGACATAACTTCTCTGAGCCTAGTTGGGATCGTGTTCTCACCTGTCCCGGCTGTTGTGAAAATAAAAGAGAAAAGCGTTGAAAGAGTGTGGGATGAGCCCATTCCATGCTCAGAATGGGGCACCTGCTACTGTTGTTGCTGTCTTTATGGTGATTACTCCAAGGAGCGGCACCTAAGGTGGACAGACACGTTTTTGCAGACTTTTGCTTTTGCTGGTCCCTCTGGTCAGTTCTGGGGGCCTCTTAAAAGGCCACACTTGGTGGAGTGAGCTCTCTGGGCAGGTCGGTTTCCTTTTCTGGACGTGGCCTTGTGTGCGTGGAATGCACCCTGGAACCCCTCCAGTGCCAGCATTGTGTGATTTTCAGGCCTTTGGGCGTTTCTGCAATCCACTTCTGTTACCTAGCCAGCTTAGTGAGCATCCTGCCACGTCCAAAGAGGCAAAACTGAGCCAACACCTCCTGGCAAACAACTACCCACCTAATGATGGAGACGTTTATTACAGTAGTTGCCATTCATCGAGCACTAGTTGAGTTCCAGCCACAGTATATGAACTGTGTTGTTAAATCCTCACAGATATCTTCCAACATGTCACAGATGAGGAATGCCAACCTCAGAGAGGTCATTCCTGAATGCTTTAATACCAGTTCCAGGGGCCCGCCGGGTGGCATAGTGGTTAAGTTTGCACACTCCTGTGGCTGGGGTTTGCAGAGTCAAGGTTTGCGGGTTTGCTTGTCAAGCCATGCTGTGGCGGCGACCCGTATACAAAATAGAGGAAGATGGGGACGGATGTTAGCTCGGGGCCACTCTTCCTCAGCAAGAAGAGGAAGATTGGCAACAGATGTTAGCTCATGGCCAATCTTCCTCACCAAAAGGAAAAAAAAATTGCCAGTTCTGGCTGACTTAAATATCTGATTTTGCCCACTATGCAAAACTGCCCTTCCCGTAGAAAAATTAAAAACAAACTGTTAGTTTCTAGGGCTGCCATAACAAAGGACCACAAACTGGATGGCTTAAACAACAAAAATTTATTCTCCCACAGTTCTGAAGGTTAGACGTCTGAAATCAAGGTGTCAGCTCAGCCACACTCCCTCTGAAGGATCTAGAGGAGGAGGCTTCCTTGTCTGTTGCAGCTTCTGCTGGCTTCTGGCGTTCCTTGGCTTGTGGCAGCATCACTCCAATCTCTGCCTCTGTCTTCACAGGGCTTCTTCCCTGTGTCTGTCTCGCTGTGTCTTCTCCTCTTATAAGAACACCAGTCTTTGGATTTAGGGCCCACCCTAAATCCGGGATGATTTCATCTCAAGATCCTTAACTACAGCTGCAAAGATCCTGTTTCCAAATAAAGTCACATTCTGAGCTTCTGGATGGACGTGAAACTTGGAGGGGATACTATTTAACAAGCAACAAAATATGTCTGTCGAAAGGACCAAAGCTCACTGTCAGGGCACCAATTGTGGTTATAAATCCAAATACTTGCGTATTATCAGGTAATTGTTCTCAAGTGTGTTCCCCTGGTCCACAGCATCAGCATGACTGTTACTTGGGAGTTTGATATAAATGCTACTTCCCAGGCCCCATCCCAAACTTACTGAGTCACAGTTTGGGGGTGGCCCAGCAATCTGTGTTGTAAGAAGCCCTCCAGGTGATTCTGTTGCCGCTAAAGTTTGAGAACCGCCTACCAGGCAATTGAAGACATAAGGGTTTGATAACATGATGTAAGGGCTACGTTATGAGAACGTCCTTAACTTGACAATGATCTATGCTTACAATGATTTGTTCAGCAAATCTGTCTTACCTGCATATAATTATGGATTTCAACATTTAACTGTTGCATTGTTGAAAGAATATTTTACCATAATTTAAATTTAATTTAGGTTTCTAAGTGAACTCATGTACTAAACTGTGTTCTTAGTAGTTTTTGCCTCATTTTATCTTGCCAACAGTCATGTGATTTGGGTATTATTATTTTTGCCATGTTATTGAAAAGTACACTAAGACTCAGAAATGGTAAGCCCCAAGATACACAACAAAGCAGAAACAGGCAAGACTAGGAGCTCTGTATCCTAACTCTGGTTACTAAAATGTGTGGTTCGTTTCCATTTTAGAAACAGTGTGATAGATGATGCTAAGGCCTGCTTAAAAAAGCATGATGCTGGGACCAAATATTCTCACTCGTCATCTAATAAATATTCCATCCTTTTACCATTGTTGGCAAAAGAAGGAAAACTCCATCTGTTGTTCACCCTCCGGTCCGAGAAGGTAGGTGACAAAAAGGCTCCTGCCATTGAAGTTTCAGGACATTTGAAAACCCCATGAAATTTTGTCACTTGCACACATTTTGAGGCCATGGATTCTCAAACGGACTTTCAAAATTGTGATGTTTGAGGGGTACAAGAAGCCACAGGATAACATGGCATTTTTTGGAGAGGTTTTGGAAAGAAAAATAAGTGATTTAGCTAGTGAGTAATTTAAAATACTTTCAGACCAGGGTTTCTTAATCTTGGTGCTGATGGCATTTGGATTGGATAATTCTTTGTGTGTAGGAGCCATTGTATGCACTGTGAGATGTTTAGCATCATCCCTAGCCTCCTCTACCCACTAGATACCACACACACACACACACACACACACACACATATCCTTTTGTGACAACCACAAATGCCTCCACATTGTCTACTGTCCTGGCAGGGAGAGGGGGCAAAATTGCCAACACCGAGAGCCACTGTTTTAGACTAATCCCACCCAGGTATAATGTGAAAATTCTAGAGCAGAGAAATTAACAGCCTAGGCCCTGAAGCTGGCTGCCCATGTTTGAATGCAGGCTCTCTCCTGGCCAGCTGTGTGACTTTGTCCTGGTTACTCATCCTCTCTGTGCTGCAGTCTCTTCACTGGCAAAATGAGGACGGAATATTAGTACCTGCTCCACAGGGCTGCTGTGAGGATTTCACAGGGTAACAGATGTAAAGGACCTGAAACAACCCTGGCACTTGGCACGGATTCGGTCAGTGTCACCTGTTCCTTAGTGCCATTAGCATCATGGCCTGAAACTGTAAGATAAACCATTCCCCTTTAAAGAAGTGTTGGGCTGGGAATGGAGTTCCTCTGGGTACACTCTGGGTATGGTCACTCTCCCTTGCTATTGGGGGTACTTCCAAAGAAAAGTCGGGGAAGCAGTAATTTCAAAGTTATCTAAGTACGAAAGAAAATGGGCCATCATAACGTGGCTTTCTAAGCAGAATAATGAAAAGTATCCCCTTGGAGGGAAACAGAAGCTGAGGAGTCAGCTGAAGCTTCATGGACTTGGGACTGGACACGTGTGGATTTGTTTCAGTGTGGGCTGGGGAAAGGGACGAAAACACATGAGATGATGAAAGTCCAGGTGCCAAGGGGAGATACTGAACTGGAGACCAGGGGACCAGGATCTCTTCCCAGCTGAGCCACAAAGCACAGGAGAAGCACTTAAATGTATTTTGTGAATCATCAGACAAACAATAATGTAGAAAATCTAGACAGGGCCAAAATGGGTCTCTGGTTTCTGTTTCACCGGGAGTAGATTTGCCTGTTGATTATTAAGTGAAAATCATCTTAGACCATAAATTCTGGTGTGCAAAGGTCACATTAAAAAAAATTTTATTTAAATCTGACTCTAAGCCTATCTGGCTGTGGGGGCAAGAAATTCCCTCAGGCATTACTGGAGCTGTGCCCCTCCCTGGAGTCAGAGGAGCAAGCTCTCAGGTTTCCTCCCAGTAGATGGGGAAGGGGGTGCCCATCATCCATCTCCCCTGCTTATGCGAGGGCTTCCCTGCTCGCTCTGGAACCTGGAGCAAAGTCCTTAATCTCTCTGAGCCTCAGTTTTCTCCTTCCTAAAATGGGACTGAAAACATTGCCTAATGTTATGAGGGTAAAGGACCTCTTTCCCTCTCTCACCTCTCCCTCCTCTTTCTCCCACCCCTCCCCCCACTCTCTCCTCTCCCCTCTCCTCCCTCCCCCCCTCCCTCCTCTGCTCCCAGCTTTCTAGGGCTCGAAATAGGCAAAAGGAAATTCAAGAACAAAACATAGATTGAAGTCTTAGGAAATTAGGCTGCAACTTTGTTTAGCTTTTGAGGTGAATTCTGTAAGGTTTTATTTAATAAAAATTTTATACTGTTTATAAAAAAAAGGAAAACGATTGAAAACTTCTGTACTTAGATAGGGCCCTTTACGGTGCTGACAGTTTGTGAATAATCATTTTTATGAATGTGTCTGTTTTCTACAAAACAGCATCAGATTTTCCTAAGAGTATTTAAAATAGTCATTAAATCAGGTCCGTATTTCTGAAAAGCCTGGTAATTCCCTGTAGGGGCCTTCTGTCACTGATGCCTTGATGCTGATCTTATTAACACAATGGGGTAGGTTTTCAGAGGCGATGTAACATTAGGTTTCTTTCTTATGCATTTGGGTGGTGAATGTTCAAGAAAGTAGAAACATGTCCATCAACCTTGTTTTCACCGACTCTCATAACTATAATCGATGTGAAGATGGGTGAGGTTTCTATGTAGCGTAGCAATTCCTGCAGTGTTATTGTTTTATTAACAGAGAGGAACTTTAAAACGTTTTCTTTCTAAAACGCTTACCTAAATGGGACTTTAAACTGTACAACACTACAAAATTTATAATGGCATCTAGTTTATTCTTACACAGATATATTGGCCCCGCTGCTGAAAATGCCAACACGACCTCTTGATTTAGCTTCTAAACATCAAGATCTGACCTTATGAGTTCTCATTATTCAACACTTAATGTGGGCCAGACGTTGTGCCGTGCGCTTCAGCCATCAGCTCGCGTGACTGGCTCCACTACCCTGGGAGGCTGCACTGATGCTACCCCCGTTGCACATAGCTGAGAGGAGGGAGACCCAGGACTCTCGCTCAGCCTGAGGTCTCCTTGACAGTTACTGGACGGGAGTGAATGTCAAAGAAATTGAGGTCACATTTGCTGAGAAGTTTGGTCCTGCAGAGGAGAGAAGGCGGGGGGAGACAACAGCTGAAGGCAAGTCCAGAAGGGCGGCGATGGAACAGCGTGTGTGTGTGTGGGGGGGGGCCTTCTCCATCCCTGTCCAAGGTAGGAGAGAAATCATTACAAGACAGAGATAGGAAAGGGAAAGATATTGAGGATGCTACAAATGGAGATACAGTCAGTTCTCCTGAAGTCAGGAAAGCATGGAATCAAGGATGTAGGTAGAAGGAGGCAATGCAGGGAAAAGAGAGACTCCTGTTCCTTTATATACATGTGCATGGAGATATAAAGGCGCTGACACGAGTCAATGCTATCGGCTCCGGTGACCATATTTGCTATGTTTTAGTTAGCTCTTTTTTTTTTTTTTTTT